CAACGACGTCGGGGTCGTCCTCCGGCAGTCCCTTGTCTGGGATGAGGCTCCAGGTCTCTTCCCAGCTCTGCAGCCTGTGCCAGAGATGGAAAGTTGGGCGAGGCTGAGGGGCCTCCACTCAGCCTCCAGGGGGCTCCTTATTAGGGGCTCCCCAGGCTGCGAGGGATACATGTTCCCAAGCTGGGCACCCATCCTCCAGGCTGTGGGAACCGCGGGGCCGCTCTGACCTTGCACCAGAAATAACTAGGACCCCCCCTTCCTCCCCGCGCCCCCGGCCGGACCGCCCCCCGGGACCCCAGCCAAACCGCAGCGTCCGGCAGCACAGGGCCTCTCCCTTATTGCACAACCCGGGGAGAGAAGATGGCGAGGAAGGGGGTCCTGAGAACTAGCTAAGGTCTCGGAACTAGGGACTCTTGAGTAGAAACTCACCTGTCTGAGACCGGCCCGCTCCTTGTCGGCTGAGTCAGCGTAACGTCCAGGGAACCCTGGGGAGATGGGCAGGAGGACACTCAGAGTCCTTAGCCCCAACACCAGAGGTTTTGCAGGAGCCCAGGACAGCTCTCATTAGGGGGTTGGGGAAGGGGTGCCTGAGTGGGGGGGGGGGTCGTGACTGTGCAGGAAGAGCCAGAGCCACTCTGGGCTCATCCCTTCTACAGGTCTCTGTGGACCACTACAGCTCTAGGCTTATCTCTGTTGCCATTTGAAAATGCATTCATGAGAGAATGGTGGGAGGGGGCACCGGGTTGGGAGCCAGGAAACCTAGGTTCCAATACCGGCTGGACCACTAAGCAACTGCCATATCTTGCGCAAGTCTCCTCCCATCTCTGGGCCTTAGTTTCTCCATCTTTGAAACTGGAGAAGGGATGCAATCCGTTCTCCCTGTGGAAGCCTCTTAAACTTTTCCCTTCACCCTCCGCGCTGTGCTCAGAACCTCCGTGGAAGAGGAAAATGAGCTCCCAGCGAGAAAGTGTAAGACCCAAGACTGGGCAAGGGTTGGGTACTGAAGTGAATGAAGAAAAGAGGGAGCTGGGGCGGTGGTGGCGCACGCCTTTAATCCCAGCACTCGGGAGGCAGAGGCAGGCAGATCTCTGTGAGTTCGAGACCAGCCTAGTCTACAGAGCTAGTTCCAGGACAGGCTCCAAAACCACAGAGAAACCCTGTCTCGAAAAAAAAAAAAAAAAAAAAAAAAAAAAAAAAAAACAAAAAAAAAAAAAAAAAAAAAAAAGCTACGGAGAAACTCTGTCTCAAAATCCAAAAAAGAAGGATCCTTTTGCATAGCACTTTGTCCAAGGGCTTTGTGTCTTCTAAAGACAACCCAGAGGAAGGTGACAGACTGCCCCTTTGCTAGGGCTCAGGAGGGCAGGAGGCTGCTATGCACATACTCCTCAGGCCAGGAGTAATTTGGGAATCTGCCTTTCTCACACACAATCCACTCCCAACCCATGCCTAGGCACTTCAATTGTAACCTAGGGTCTGAGGGAGGCCTCCAAACCAACTCAGAGCCAAGCTAGCTGACAGGAACTGTGCCATGGTCCCTTTGCGCTCAGACTGCTTAAGCCAGGATGGGAGGAGGGAAAAGAAGGACCAGGGACACCTGTCCCCGAGCTCCAAGCTCCACCAGAGGGTGGAGGTGGGGCAGGAGGGAGGCCATGGCCTGTTTGACAGAGAACCTTCCCATGCTGAAAGCTTGGGGACTCTTACGCAGTGAGCCTTCCCTGGGAGTCCACCCATTTCCACCACACCATCAGAGGGCAGGTACTGATCTCCCCCAGACCAGCTCCCCTAATCGCACTCCCCTGCTTCCCTCCTCTTCCCCTCTATATTTATCTGCCCTCTGCCTCGCCAGGTGCTGGCGCTGGCGCTGGCTGCGGTGTAGCCCGCCCCACCCAGGAATGGAGCCATAGAGCTTGCTGGGGGACCCCTGATGGGGGGATGGGAGCCTGACCCCAGGCCACAGTACACTCAGTCTTGTCTCTGGTGGGTAAGGGCATGGTGAGGGAGGGCTCCTCGAGGTCTTACACACCAACGGTGCCTCAGCGTCTCCCAGGGGAGATTTGATTAAAACAAAACAAAACAAAACAAAACAAAACAAAACAAAAAAAAAAAAAACCCAGCAGTCAAGCGACCCTCACCATTCCCTCGGGATTCCCAGGAGCCTCACCAGAGAGGGCAGAGAGTTCTGTCCTAAGTGGCAGGATAAGAAGTCCTCAAAGGGCCATCGTCCCCAGCCTTTTCTTTGTGGGGTTCCCGATGCAGACCCCAATTCCAGGATGCCTTTTGCCCCTCGCCCAGGTTCCAGCGGTAAGAACTCCCGCATCTGGCCCCAGCGCTCAAGAACTGTGAGCAGAACGAACCCAGGCGTTCGAGCCGCTCAGCCGGCCTCGCCACATTCTTTGGCTCTGGCGGAGGCGGAAGGAGACGGGATGGGACGCGGGCCCGGCAGGGAAGGGAGAGGCAGGGCCAGGTCGGGCCACGCGTGACGCCTCCTCTGCCTCAGGGCCCCCAGCAGGTGGACAGCGCCCTGAGTGCGGCGCGAGGCCCACAGGCACATCCCGTGTAAGGCTGCTTGCCCCTGGAGCTCCCAGAGCTCTGGCCTCCAGACAAGAATCTCCCCCACATTTCCACTTGGCCAAAAGGACGGCGTTTGGCCCGAGTATGGAGCCGGATCAGGCGTGACGACCGGTTGTAGTGAGAAGGATTGAACGAACACGGCGCTAAATCTCTCCAGACTTACCCTCCCGCCGCCCGCTGGACTTGGGGTCCGTAGCTCAAAGGTCTCGTCGTCGTCGTCGTCGTCCCCGTCCCCGCTAAGCTCGCCGTCCCCGTAGTCCCGGTGCAGAAGAGTGAAGCCTCGACGGCAGCAGAGGAGCCACCACAATCCCCCGGGGAGAGGCATCCGGGCGAGCAGTCGGGGAATGGGGGCGCGGGCAGCTTCGCCCGAGCAGCGGGGAGATCGGAGAAACTGGAGGTGCTCGGATCCGAACCGGGTAGAGATGAGGCGCGAGGAGAGAAGGGGTCCGGGAGGAGGGTGTCCAGCGCTGGGGTGCAAGAGAACGCTCGTCGGAGCCTGCGGGGGGCTCAATGTCTGGGCCCCAGCGGAGGGAGAAAGCGTCCAGAGCCGGGGGAAGGGAGTAGGGAGCAATGTCCGGAGCTGGGAAGTAGTGTCCGTTGTAGTGTCCAGCCCTGTGGGGGGCAGTGTCCGGTACAGTGTCCGTGGTAGGCAGTTGTCCAAGCTCCAGGGAGGGTCGTGTCCGGTAGGGCGTCCGGTGGCCGGGGCCCGGGCGGCGCGCGCTGCGCTCCCTGCAGCCCCGGGACTGGCGCGCTGGGGGGCGCGAGCTGAGCTCCCGGACCCCGCCTCCCTCTCTCCCCCCCTCCCTCCACCTTCCCTCTTTTTTCTCTCCTCCCTTCTTTACAGGGCAGGGTCTACATTTCGTCACAGCCTTCTCTGCCCAATCTCTGTGCCTGGCGCCGGCCAGGGCCACCAATCCCACGCTTGAAACCACGGCGGGTTGCATCATGTGCTTCTGGCTGAGTGACAGAGGAGAGAGGCGGGGGAAGTGGGGAGGGGATGGGCGGTGCGATGTTAGCCACGCCCCAGCTTCTGAGGTCGGACTCGGGGTGCCTGTGGCGTCACGTAGGCCCGCCTTCGTGCTCTTGTTTTAACTCCTGGTTCACCAAGCAGCAAATTAAAATTCTCTTAGAAAGTCTGGAGAAGGAAGAGCTATTGGAAGGAAGCAGGGCTACTGCCCTGTGGTTACCTGACACATCTTGGAATCCCTGCCAAAGTACAGAGCTTTAACAACCGCGAGGCATCCCACGCCTGCGCCGGAGAGCTAGCTGCAGAGGCAGTTCTTCATCCTTGGAGTTAAAGGGGTCCAGTTTTAGATCTTAGTCACCCCACTTTTAAGGTGAAAAAAGCTGAGAAAGGAACTCCGAGAAGCCTCAGACAAAGATCTCAGATAAAAGCCGATTTACAGTGCACTGACCAGAACTGGGGAGGGTGGCTAGGCAAGCTAGGAAATTCTGTAGTCTCAGAAAAAAAGACGGAGGCCTCCCGGGGCGAATCTGCTGCGTTTCTGCACAAAGGGTTAACAAGAGCCCTAAGAGTCTAGGGCGGGGCCCGTGCTACAGCCGGAGACAGCGGGTGCGCGCGCGTTGCTGACTCAGCGGCGATTCCCGCGGTCACTGGCGAGGGGTTCCAGGTCGGCTCCGGAGGGTAGCGTGAGCCCCCTGAGGATCTGCGCAGTTTTCAGACCTTCCCTGGCTTCTGGCTTCAAGAGGCCAACGTTTTAAGTCTCTACCTCCTGAGGTTTTAGGACCGACGACTAGCCAGGCTGGGCTGGGCCGGGTAGGACGGAGGGAATACTTCAAGCCAACGCCTCTCTAGGGACCTGTATGCCACGCCCTTTTGCCCCTAGACTCCAGGCTGGGGCTGGAGCAGTGGGTATGGCTTTGCTAGCCAGATACTAAATTGGGAGAAGTGTCTTGTTTGAGCCAATCCTGGTATTTGTGATTGTACAAAGCAAAGACCAGAAATCAATGCACCATCTCTAGAAGCCATCCTGACTGTACTTTCACACTGGATGAAAACGGCCAGAGACTTCGCAACCATAACCTCCCTTCCTCTTCAAGATCCTCGACCCTTGCCTGCGGGAGAATTCTTTCTGATATCTAACCTCCCTCTTTCCTGGCAAGCTCATTGTATTATTTCCTTTTACTTGGTCTCCAGGGGACGTGAACCGCACAAGCACCCCCCCACACTCTCAACTATAAATACCCAATAACTCCTCTCTGGAAATTTGCAAATTGCAATACACCCCCCTCCCCCTGTTTTTAATCCTAGGTGAAAAACTCTAACTCAACTTTTTCCTTTCCTTTTCTTCTTAGGCAGGATATGGTTCTTGATTCCCCCACCCCCACCCCTGTCTTTGGAGTGCTGGGGCTACAGGCATCTGTTAACACACCAGCAGACTCGACTTTTTAATTAGTGTTTTTCTTTCCATTGCAGGACTTTAAAGGGGATCCAAAATCCCACCCCCAACTAGAATCTCTTGCCTCCTACCCCTGCCTCCAGGCCGGACCCACGCACACACAGTTTGGGACAGCATCACCACCCCGCACACTTCACACGCTTGGGAGCTAGGTACTTGCTAAAGCAGCCATTACTGGAGAGCGCTAGTGTTGTTAGAAAGCCCTTTCTTACCCTGACTCCGGAGGAACCCCGCCCCTCCCCACCTGGCAGCTTTCCCACCTCACCTCGGTTGGCAGAGGCTGAGTGAAGGCAGAAGGGAGTGTCAGCACTCAAAGCTTTAGCCGACTCAGCAGCCCCCTCCCCCAACACCTCCCACTCAGGCTCAAGAGTGGGGGTTGGGGTGCAACCCACTGCCTTGGCCTCGCTACAACTCGTTTCCAAAGTTGGTGATTCAAAAATAGTAACAATAGTTGGGTTGGGTTGCATCTCATTTGCATTGTATCGATTTAATTAAGTGCAGAGGCAATCCCTTTTGGTCCTGAAGTCTTTCTCAACGTTCCCCCACTTACTCCCCTTTCTCACTGCCCTCCCTGGGATCGTTTCCTTAACACCCCCCACCCCCCACACCCCCCCCCGGGAATCGTAGCCCTAGTTGTCCCAAGAGATACTGTGGGTCTCAGTGGGAGCAGAGCAGGAAGAAAGGCGGAGTCGGCGGGGGCAGCGGCCTCGGGGGTTGGGCTTTGGGCTGCATCCCCCACTATGTAGCAGCCTCCGCAGGTCCTGGCGGAAGCGCAGGCCTAAAAAAGCATAAAGCACCGGATTGAGGCTGCAGCGGACCAGCGCCAAGCCGCCGGTGACCAGCAGAGCTAAATCCTTGCGCTTGCTGGCGGAGCAGCTCCGCTCGCGGGCTGCCAGTAGGTCGGCTGTATCCATCAGCAGGGCGAGGCTGTAGGGCAGTTGCAGCACCACAAAGGCCGCCACCAAGGCCACCACAACGCGTAGCGCGCGACGCCGCTCCGGCCCCCTGGCGGCCAGAAGCGTGCGGCCCAGGAGCGCATAACAGGCTGCCATGACGCCCAGAGGCAGCGCGAAGCCCAGGACCACCTGCGCCACCGCACTTGACCCCTTCACAGTCTGTGTGAGGCCTTCGGGGAAGATGAGCCGACAGCGCCGTTGCCCTTCCCGCGGCCCGTCCCGGCTGAAAAGGAGGGCAGGTAGGGCCAGGAGCAGCGACAACAGCCACACGAAGACTGAGACCAAGTGCGCACGGCCAGGCGTGGAGGGCCGCTGCCCGGCTGGGAGGGCTCGAGCGATGGCCACGTAGCGGTCTGCGCTGATACAGGCAAGGAAGAGGAAGCCGGCGTGGAAGGAGGCCGAGTAGAGACCTGAGATGGCTCGGCAGGTGGCACTTCCTAGATTCCAGCCCTGAAGCGCTCCTGCTGCGGCAAAGGGCAAGGTCAGGGCCAATAGGAGGTCAGCCAGAGCCAACTGGAGCAGGTGAACGGAGGTGGGAGATCGGGAAGTTCGTCGGGCTGCCAGATGGGTGGCCAAGACTAGGCCATTGCCTGCGAGACCCAGCACAGCCACCATCAGGGAGACACTGGGTTGGAAGGCCCGACTAAAAGCCTGCACATCCGCCTTGTAACAGAGTTCTGGCAACGGCTCAGCTGAGTAAGCCCCCTCATCGTACCCGGAGTAGGGTTCCCAGGAGACCTGGTGACATCAAAATGAGAGGAGGGACCATGTAAGACATTCCTACACCACTCCCTTTCACGCAGGACTTCCTCACTTGAAGTCGAAAACAGCAGAAGAGAGATCCCCCCAAAAAATTCTTTCTAGGGTACGCTGAACCGGCAGCTGCTTTCTTGCCCTCCTACTAGTTCTGCTCCCAGATTCTCGAGCCGCTTCTTGCTCTGTCTGGACCTCAGTTACTTAATGTGTTCCGTCCAGTCTATTAGTCCTATCCAGGCTTGCAGGGAGGACTGTTGAAAAGATGAAGCATCTAGCTCGCCTTAGACCAAGCAATTTGTATTATTAATAAATCTTGGCTGCGTCTGTTCCCTGCGCAGTGCCCTCTTCTGGAAGGAAGGTCAGATGCAGGCTTCGCTTCAGCCTTGGACCCTAGACTTCAAGCTTAGGCTTTCTGCCTCCTTCACTGCTCTCCTCCCCACCCTACCGCCACGTCGAGCACGGGCATACTGAAACGCTCATACCAAGGGGGTCTTAAGTAAGTTTTCTAGGCTCCTGTGCAGGTCATAAGATGACAGAGGCCCGATATTAAGTGGGGAAACCCATTCCTTCCCCGTCCCCACCCTCTCTGCAACCCTTCTCCCCCTCCGTGCCCCGACTCCCACCTGCTGTGTGGGCTCGGTCCCCATCTCTGGCTACAAGGGTTTCTGAGGTACAGTCACAGGGGGTAAAGTTAAATAAGTAGTGGGGAGGAAGGAAGGGGTGGGGAGAAAGGCCAAGAAGGAGGGTGGAGATTAGGGTCTGCGGGTTAGCTTTTACATTCCACCTTGCCTGATTTCTGTCTAATCCCTGCCAATGGAAAAAAGAACTGTATGATCTTGAATAAGACTTGTTTTCCTCTCTGAGCCTTGGGCTTTCCATGTGCCAAGTGGAGTAAGGCGAAAACACCGAGTTCACAGTTTATGAAGGTGTCCATCACTGAGCCAAGAACGTTATTAACCTTCAGAAACCCGTTTTTTATTTGCCCTTCATTCCGTCTCTAGGGGTCCTTCTGCGAAGCTCTCCCCTTCCCTTGGAAATGTTAGACTCCGTCTCAACTCCCCCCACACTTCTCTTTTTGTCACCCTGCAGCCCAGTCCTTGTCAGCTTTGGGGTGTTTGGGGGTATTTCCCGGTGGCAGGTTCTCTACCCCGCCCTTTCGCAATAGGGCTGAGGCACGCGCTTGCGCGGGGTCCGGGAAAACGCGCGTGCCAGGAGAGAGAGAGAGGCTGGGGAAGGGGGCGGAGAAAGGGAGGTGAGGAGAGAGGGGAGAGAGGAGAGGGAGGAGAGGGGACAGAGAGAGAGAG